CACAGACTATTTAATGTGCCCTGAGAGCTGAAAACTACATGCCATACATAAAAAGCTTCACTATTTATCTGGATTATGATAGCACCATCCCTTAAAACTCTTCTTTTTTCCCCCCCAAATATAGACTGTAAATATTCTGAAAGACCTTCAGAACCATTCCACAATTCTTCTGTTACTATGATAGAAAGCCACTGAACATACCAAAGGAAATACTCTCAAAGTATAGATAAAAAATTAGCAAACTTTAGAAATGGGGAACAGATTACTAAGTGTTTCTTGCTTATTTAAAAGAAAAAAAAATGGAAACAATTATACATCAGAATCATCTTATATTGAATGTTCTATACTAAAGTGTCAAGAAAGGCAATGTAGCACTTCTTTCAGGACAAAGACACATCAAAAGCATGGAACTCTCACATCACAGCTTAGTTTTAAGGCAAGACTGTTATCTGGTCTCTTCTCCCTTAAGCAGTTCCCCAAAATTTGGTGGACACCTGACAGCAAGCCACCTCTGAAGTATTACTGAAGACAGTATTATGGACTGAGGTCCACAAATTTAAGTGTTAAATAAGCTTTACTGAACAAGGCAACTGCAGAATTACTGAAGATAATGCTTTCTAAACTTCCTGTAAGTCCACTGCTCTAAGCTGAACTAGATGCTTTTTACAAGACAGCAGGATTTTAACTAACATGAAGCAAGCACCATTCAAATACCTGTTTTCTCAGGCAACAGCTAGCATCAAGAGAAATACCCCACAACTGGCTACCAATTAGGCGACACTGCTCTAAGAAAACTGTGTTTTAAATAAGCTAGTAAATAGCTATCAAAATATTATTTCCTAAGAGTATCGTAAAAATGTCATGTAACAAATGCTGCTCCCAGGCCAAGCCTAAAACCTCCCAAATCAAGCCTAACCACTCCCAGGAAAATACATGGAAGGGAATTGTATGAAATAATGTATCACAGAATGAATGAGTGAGTATGTATGTAAAATAATTTGTTTGCCCTCAAAACTTGTAACTCCTGTGAAAGTTCAAAAGTTACATTTCTTCGGTGCTTTTCATGCTGCTGGAAAGGAGGCTATATTGTAAACATCACTTTTGACACCATGGTTCAAACACAACTTCTTTCAGAAAAAAACACAGGCTAAATACTGAATTGTTTAAATTTTCAATACAATAATTTTGAGGGGAAAGCAATGCAAGGTGTACAAATAACTGTTAGGATAGAAATAATCGTCAAAACTGAATGTTTTAATTTTTTAAGATATCTAAAAATGTTTAAGAGTGTCTGAGCAGCACAAATCTTAAATATTCGTTTTCTAACGAAATACTAAAAGCTTTAAAGCTGTTTAGAAAATAAATAAGAAATTACAGAAATTAATTAGTTAAGACAATTAGCTTCAGATACAACAAAGTACACCAGTTAGTATTATTTTCTGTATTATTTGCAGGCAAAACAGCATTTCATTAAAGCAATATGTGCCCCTTCCCTCCCGCCCCCCCAGAAAAGTGAGGTTTGGTGTTCTGATAAAGAGTCTGGCACCCATTACACTACACAGAATACTTTAACCAAAAGAAAATAGTTGCAGTACTGCCCCAAACACTGGCCAAAATGCAAAAGCTGAAGCAAGCTACTGTCAGAGTTGCTGAATACATCCTATCAGCAAAAGCAAGTATTTAGTTATTTTAATAAAACTTTGCCATGTATTTCGCTCCATCAGCAATATACATGTTAGTCACAGGACAGAAGAAATCCTATTGTAAAAATTAAAACTCATTTTCATTGAATTTAATTTCTATTTTTAGTTTCAGAAAGCTCTTGCTCTTTGATTAAAATTCTCTTTAATCATGAGATCAGACCTACTATCACTTCAAGCTCTCCTCAGCTGGCTGTCATATAAAAAATTCAGAAAGTCCAGTATTTTTTTCTTCTACTTGCTAACAACTTCAATCTTCACAAAAAGTTTCTAAGTAAGACCTTGAGTGCTAAAGTCTTCAAAGAAATAAATATATTAACAGCTGCTTAAATATTATCCCCAAGTGGGATTGAAGACTTCTTGATTCTATAAAGCAATAACTTTCAAGCCATGATTCATAAAATCTCAAGAACTACTCTGCAAAACCCCTGCAAAAATTATATAAATACATCTCACTTTCTCACGCATGTAAGCAAACATGAAAGGGAGAGAAGTGACAGATATGTCACTGTTTGGGTTACTTTGCTGGTGCTGTAAATGAAGATAACTGTGACAGAACTGTACAAAGTGATCTACTTACACCTCCTCCCCACAAAAAAAAAACACAGTTCTTTTATTAAATGGGGAGAATTGCTTCTTACACTGTTTCACAGGATTGTTAACTGGACACAGCTATGCCAGTCTACACTGTAGTCTAAACTTCAGCAGCTCCAGCCTATCTCAGATTACAATTCTGAAACGCAGAACTGTTATCTAGAAAATGTAAGGCACCTGTCTTCTCTTTAAGGAAATTTCACTGACTTTCTTAGGATATCTTCAGCAATTAAAATCCCACAGTAGAATTTCTACCTGTTTACCAATATAGAAACTGAACTGTAATATCAGAACTAATTCATTTTCCTGAAGACCATTCCCCTTTCTGACAGGTGTTGCACAAAGTCTGATTTTCATGCATCCACAATAAGGCATAAAAACTTGTAACTTCTAACAGAGAAGTATGAAGAGTATAGTTGGTCTTCACTTCCTTTATAAAGCCTTTTACAAAAACAACATTGAGAAAAAGAATACTGCTTTTACAGTGGCCTTAGTTTTAGTGGCCCCTTTACAGCACCATAGAGTTTACATCTGTTTCAGACATGTACTGAATCCTTAGTAATATTCAAATGTTTTATACATGATCTTGCAAGGAGGGATTACTTTTGCTTAAATTCCCGCTGGAATTGGAAGGCGGGGAGGGAAGTAGAAGCAGGGAAGTGTATTTTCAATGAAATGATGCTTTGTCGCCTCAACAGGCGTAGGAAAGCAATATCTTCTTAATCATTTTGACATATTGGAGGCACATTCAACAGCACAGAACCAATCCATACTCCTAGCTATTGCCAGCAACCTGCAAACATTAATTTATTCTCACAAGGCTGAATGCTGGAACTGTGACAGGACAATATGAGACTGGGGAATAAGCAACGGAAATCTAGCTCCACAAACACACCGCTGGCTGACAGGTCTGTTGAACCAAAGAATGACATTTCTAATAGTCTGTCGAAGACCCAGGAAAGCCTGTGTGTTACTGTGTAGCTAGACAAATTCATTTTCAACACTGCACAATTACCTTTAGCCATCAACACGCGCCGGTGTCAGATATTTTAATTCAGGAACATATCATGCATGTCAGTCACGTATTTTAGAATACTTCAGTTCTTCTAATTAAACAGTATTTTAAGAGAAAGTTTTTTTTCAGTAGTGATGATGGTACATTAGTTTTTATTAAGTTTGCTTTGAGAGCTACAGGCAAAGCTGGAGCTTTCTAAAAAAAAAGAGTTCATAGCTATAGTGCAAAATTTTATTGAAGTCATTAACACAGAAACTGCAATAGACATTTTCAATTAATCCACTCAAGACAAAAGAAGCAGTATATAACAGCAGGAACTCATTTGTAATGTCCCTAAAGCATCTCAAAACCCACAGTAGTTTGACTACACAGCTTTGGTATTTTCAAGGGTTTTCATAAGCTGGTAAAGAACTAGAATGAGTTTAAGTTACAAGGGGAAAAAGCTTTGAATCTAAGTTCTAATGAGAAAGCAACACCTGTGGAGTAAGGGCATTTACAGAATTTTGGACCCAACTTTTATTCTGCATTCTCTTTAGCACGTATTTAATGGGCCAAAATCAAATAGTCTAGTGAATGAAAATAACAAAACTTACGTAGACTTCATACACACACATGTACCAATAAACCTGTTATTTAATTGTATATTATTTATTTTTAAATTATCCATAAATCCTTCAACACAGTAGGCAATTTTTAACTACCATATCTAATACCAGCTTGGTTTAGGGTTTTTTTAAGCTAAATCACTTTCTTGGTTACACATCTATAGCTGCAATAACTCACATAAGATGCACAAAAAAGCAGAATTGAAATTATTTTTAGCGTGCACAAACATACAACCATGTGTCAAAAACATACTTGCAAAGTAGCAACCTACTGGTTTTAACCCACAGTGACAACTACACAGTAAGTTATGTTCTTGTGCAAGCCATACATGATTTTCATATCTTATTATATTCTAATTATGCCCTCAACAGCTAAGATGAATTTTAATCTTCACATAGTTTTCCATATGTCAGTTTTATGGAATGGTACAATGTGCCCAGTCCCCAGCTCACTGTGGGGACCCACTGCCTTGGTTACTTTAGCAAGAAGCCAGCATCTTAAAAGCAGTTAGTAGATTGCAAAGCTTCTAGAGTGAAGTTTATGAATAAAGACATACGTTGACCAAAACTAATTTCCAACTAAGTCAGTAAACTGATGAGAGTGGACTGTACATATACTTTAGGTTGGAATCAAACACAGCTATTGCTTTCTTATTACAGAAACCCTTAAAAGGCGAATTACCAAATAATTCATCATTTACACCTAAAAGAAGGCAGAGTAATTGTGACCTGAGTGTCATTTGCCCTGATGGACATACAAATGCCACATCTGAAGAACACAGACTAGCTCTAACCTTTTCAGAATCCTGATTCAAAAATACCTATCAGCTTTTGCAAACACTGTTAACTTACCTTTGTAAGCAGACTCATCTTCTCTTGTTGCAGCACATAATTACATCACTTAATCCTCATTTCTGTGGCATGCACATGATTCTCCAGGTTCAGAAGTTATGTGTGGTTGGATTTTTAAAGCCATAACCTCAAATTTTATTTTCCAAACGGAAGTACTAGAACTATCTTAATGAGAATTTTAAAACACAACAGGCACACTCAACATGACACAAATGCAGGAAGTAACATACTTACAGCTTCAAATGATAAGTTAACGTGTTCCAGGAATTTCTGTCTTAAACTGTCAGTTAGTTCATTGAAGCGGTACCGCAAGAGATCCATTTCTTGTTGAAGAAACCAACGCCTGAGATCCTCACTGCAAGGAAATAATAAAAAAATAAAAATAACATTTTCTGGTTATGCATTCTCTTTTTCTCTATAAACTAGATGTCAAACATAGTGAACACAACATTTAATATAATGCTGGCTTTGGCATGGGACCCACAAATGGAGGAGCTTGGAAGAAAAGGCAGGAAACCTTCAGGAAGGAGCATTTGATCCAAAAAGGCTTCTGAAGAACCCGCACACTAAGAAGCATGACTGCAGATGTTTTGCACTAACAAAGGTAGAGCTGTGTTTGCCATGAAAGTGAGTGAAACAAGATTATTCTATCTCCTGGTCTTGACAGATGCAAATGACATTGCAAGATGTGAAAAGAGATGTGAAAGAACAGTATGGATGAGAGTATTCACTCAAGACTACATACTGTATCTTAGCAAGATTACATGGGAATAAGCTTTAAATTCTTGGATATCAGAAGGCAGAAGGACAGACAAGATTACATTACAAATTTAACTGACAAGAACGGTGCAGCTGGACGCTTCAGACCATGTAAAAAACCAAAACAATACAATATACACTAGAAAAACAGCTGATGTAAACTCATGCCCCTGGGTGGCACTGTTGGCCAACTGGAAACTTAAAAAAGGCCGTGCCGCAGGAAAACAAGCCTGTAAATACAACTGCCACAGGGAACTCAATTCAACCCTGTTTGCAGCTCTATTTATACCTACCTTAATTGCTCTCATCAATTAACCTAATGATTTTGTGAAGCTTATTTTTCTGACCCAATACGATAAAAGCTTAGAGAACAGTACATTCTCTTTGCCTCCCAATTTTATCTTTTGGGGAACATGCCAGTTTTAGAGCACAGAAATATCCCTGAAATAACTGCTTCTCAAGAAAGAATGAAGAATGGTAGGCACAGGATCACCTCACAGTGCTTACGTTACTATTTTCCATTTTATGAGTAAGCAGTAAGTCCACCATCTCAAAGAAAGAAAAGAAAAAAAAAAAAAAAAAAAGCTAGTTTAAGTAGAAACTGACTATCAAGCTGCTTTGTTGAAAACACTGCATCAAACTATCTGTATAGAAACAGGAACACAAAAATACATTTGCAAGTAGTTTTCAGAGTGCCCTGGAGCTCCAACCAAGGCCCCTCCTCCCTAAGAAGGGGTCTTTCCTTTCCTTCTAGACAATAAAGCCAGGCTCTTCTGATTCTGTGGCCAAAAATAGCTTTTATTTATTTCTGCAAAGTGGTTCACCTTCAATGAGCTGCCCACCTCTGACCTGCCTAATTATTACGATACTTCCCTGAAACACAGGGTTTGAACCAAGTCTCCCATTTATTTCCTAATCAAGCACTCAGTAAATCAAGTAAGTGCTTATACAAATAATAAGGATCCTTTTATAAAAATATAGCTTGCAGAGAAAAAGAAAATAGTCCAATTATCTGCATTTGTTATCTGGAATCAGGAGATTCCACAGCAATATAGTGATACAACACATGGTGGGGATAGATGGGCAAAGCCCAGATGTTTTCTGAAAGGGCAATACAATGGGATGTGCATAATCCAGGAAATGTCAGGGTGTTTAACGTCACCCAGGGCCTGCCATGGTGAGGTTTCCTCCATCTGGAGGCTTTTGAGGCCTCTGCTACCTCCTGTTCTGATCAGATGGTCTGTAGCTTACACCTACCATATTGTTAGCCACCTTGGTCTCTTCTCTAACACTTGCCCCAAAACATTCAACTGTCTCATCACCTATTTCAAGTAAAAGCCCCATCCATTTCAGCTCCATATCTTGGCTTATAGCACAGTCCCTCCTCACCTTCCCTGTGTGTTTTTGCTTATAAATTTTTTTCTATCCATAGCAGCACTGTCAGCTACCACAGTATCATAACATGTAATCTACCACACTCACCTAATTTAAACTATATTATAAATTGAAATGCAGTTGAATTAACAGTTCAAAACAGTGTAAACTTCGAATTTGCCAGTCTTAATTCCAAAGAAGGACTGCAAGGGCAAGGAGTCAGGACTTCACATTAATGCAAAACAAAGACGCTAACAGACATAAGACACTGACAACCTGTATAATTTCATCCAAAACCTACAGCTGAAGCAAAAGAAATGCACTCGACAGGACCAACTTTGTCCTTGAGACTTCACATGACAAAAAACTGCAGTGCAACCATCCACAGCAATGAATCTGCAAAAATCAGTAGAGGAAGCCTCCAACTCAGATGGTATTTTCAGCTTGCCAGAAGCAAGGCTCTCTCTTGAGACAATAATATAAAGCCTATTTACATAGAATCATAGAATCATAGAATAGTTAGGGTTGGAAAGGACCTCAAGATCATCAAGCTCCAACCCCCCTGCCATGGGCAGGGACACCTCACACTACACCGTATTACCCAAGGCCTCATCCAACCTGGCCTTGAACACTGCCAGGGATGGAGCATTCACAACCTCCCTGAGCAACCTATTCCAGTGCCTCACCACCCTAACAGGAAAGAATTTACTCCTTATATCCAATCTAAACTTCCCCTGTTTAACTTTTAACCCATTACCCCTTCTCCTATCACTACAGTCTCTAATGAAGAGTGCATCCCCAGCATCCCTATAGGCCCCTTTCAGATACTGGAAGGCTGCTATGAGGTCTCCACGCAGCCTCCTCTTCTCCAGGCTGAACAGCCCCAACTTTCTCAGCCGATCTTCACACAGGAGGTGCTCCAGTCCCCTGATCATTCTCGTGGCCCTCCTCTGGACTTGTTCCAACAGATCCATGCCCTTTTTATGTTGAGGACACCAGAACTGCACACAATACTCCAAGTGAGGTCTCCCAAGAGCAGAGGGGCAGGATCACCTCCTTCGACCTGCTGGTCACTCTCCTTTTGATGCAGCCCAGGATACAGTTGGCTTTCTGGGCTGCAAGCACACACTGAAGCCGGCTCATGTTCATTTTCTCATCAACCAGCACCCCCAAGTCCTTCTCCACAGGGCTGCTCTGAATCTCTTCTCTGCCCAGCCTGTAGCTGTGCCTGGGATTGCTCCGACCCAGCTGTAGGACCTTGCACTTGGCATGGTTGAACTTCATGAGGTTGGCATCATCCCACCTCACAAGCGTGTCAAGGTCCCTCTGGATGGCATTCCTTCCCTCCAGCGTATCAATCGAACCAGCTCTTTGGTCAGTAATCAACAGTTTAAGTATATGCAGCAGTTAAATCTAAATTAAATTCTCAATCACTGTGAAAGCCTAACAAAAACTTAATACTGGTGTGCTTTAGTCTTACAACAGATGTCAAAAGGAAGAAACCCAAATCAATGTTCTATGCACAAGACACAAAACTATGCTTTTATTTTTAAGTATTACAAAATCTGGGTATTAATTTTGATCTCACGTATCCCTTTTGGCACAGCTGTAATCAGGTTCCTAGGAAGAAAAACCTGCTCTCTTTGAACCTACCTTTCTATTTAGTAGGCAACTCTAAAATAACCATAATGTCTGTAACAAAGAAATGTAGTATCTGTGTAGACTTTAATAGTAAAAGTACGACATAATCCAGAAAGTACTTACGACTGACAGTAAGCAAGGCGCAGTATGAAATGAGATATATGGTCTTTTCTTCTTGCTTCATAATCATCCTCAGCCAAAGCCTAAAGCACATATTGCTATTATTATTTCAGTTAATCTCTTCCAGATCAAATACACAATTTATCACTGATATTCAATAAAACTGCTTAATACTCATCTTTAAGACAATAAATGCAAGACTGTTAACAAAAGGGGCTATCCTGAAGAAATACATACTCTCAAAGAAAAACTACACTTCTGACAAAATCGCAGAATTTAAGTTTTAGGGATCATATTTCATCACTTCTACTTTTATTCAGAATTCTTGAACAGTGTAGAGAAAATAAAGTGCAATGTGAGTTCCCTATTTTGATTTTTACTTACTTTGTAGGGAAACTTTAGTTTCCGGAGCTCAGCCTGCAGCTTAGTTTTGTATACTTCATTACCTCTTACGTAGCTCACACCAAGGTTTTCAACTACTTTGAGCACTGGGAAAAACGGTTCATATTAGAGACAACATATTGAAAAGGAATCTAACTGCATCATCCCCTGAGAAATGCAATAACTGGAGTAAGGCCACAGGAATTGCTTTTAGAGGTATGGGGAGTAAAGGGGTAAGAAATACAGAAGATAACGTGTCACCCACAAGTGCTGAACAGCTCACCCAATTCTGGGATCCATACAGTCACCAAGGAAAGGAAGACAGCCAACAAGGAAAGGGAGACAGCCTACTCTGACAGATCAGTCTCAGAATGTTGCTTTCCACCGTAATGATGGAAACCTTGGATTCAGTGGTTTCCAGGAGGTCAGGGTAACCCTTGCCCCAAGCTACAGCATGAATCATTGTGCTGAGACATCAATATGTCACAACACCTAGAAAGGGAAACATGCTTATAAAACCCACCACTGTAAACCACAACCATACAGTCCTGACTGCTATATGCCAAACACTCATGAAATCAATCATAGCTCTCTGAAACACCTAAAGCTGCACATTTACCTCTAAAGGCAGTTCATTTCAGCATGAGCAGGCAGACAGTTCACATTAATAACAGGCAACGAGAGCATCTAAACCCGCTAAAAATGCATACAGCCACGACAGGAAGAATCAGAACTCCGAGGGAGGGACGTGGGGATGGAGGAGGGCCCAGCATGCTACTCACGCTTCAGGCGGTCGATGGCAAAGCTCTCAAACTCCACCAGAGAGATGCTTTCCGTGGGGGGCTCCAGGTAGAACTGCAGGCTGTGAGGGTACAGCTCCCGCCGGTCCCCGGCCAGCCGCGCCTGCCTCAGCCTCGCTCGACTGCTGGAGAACTCCATCTGACCCGCCGGCGGGCCTGGGGGCGACACGGGCGCTCAACCGAAGGCAGCACCGGGCGGAAGCGCGTACAGAACGGAAGGCAGCCGCCACCGGCCCCGGGTTCGCCCAAAGCCCGCCCGCCACCGCGTGCCCCGGGGTTCTGCCTCTGGCCCCCGCCCGCAGTGACAGACCCCCGCGTCCCCACGGCAACCACCCCCCACGCCGCGGTAACGCAGAACCCCCACCTGCAGCAGCGCACAGTCCTAGCGCCGCGACTTCCCGCGCACGGCAGGCCCCGCCCACTTCCGCCCTCCGGGCCCGCCCGACCACGCCTCCTGAGCTGCAATTGGCTCGCGGCAGCACCATGCGGGAGGAGTGTCCACAGCCAGCATGGCGGTTCCCGCGGCGGGCTAGCTTCCGAGGGCGCTCGGTGGTGCCCGGGCCTTCGTATGCAGGCACCTAAGCTGATTAAATGGGCCTTCTCGTGTGGGTATTCTGACAGCGGGTGATGCGCCGTAGCTAACTTGCTGTCAGGTTGTGGTTTTCACTACTGAAAGTCTTTAAAAATGTTTGCCACCAAGTGAGACAAATGCTCTTCCTATGGCTTTCTTCCAGCCTTTCATGGTGCTGCTAAACTGGATTGAAAGTGAAGCATTCAGCGCAGTATGCAAGCCCTGAGGAACTTTCTTTGAATACCATGATCCCCTAAACTCTGCATGCTCTATAATTGTATAATTTTGTAATTTTTCCAAGATGACCGCAGGATTTGCCATTTTTGCTACTGGCTTGCCCGTTTTGCTGCAGCTGAGGTCATGTTCTGTTGTGTGTCCTTCCCTCAGAATGCCACTTGCGAATTTTCTCCAAACAGGAAAGTTGGTTAATGATCTTACAGCAAATTCAGAGTGCAGAGGGATGGGTGGAAAATCATGATTGACATACTGTTTATGCCCATAAAGTGAGGAGAATCAGTAACCTAGACTGGCACTTGCTTATGAGCAATGAAGTGATCGTGGACCAGGACACATTTTAGACTCACGTTCATGGCTAGTACCTAAAGATAACTGCTGAGTAATGTGGCTGCAGCTTTAACAAACACTGCCTCTAGAAGTCAGCCTAGAAACTGCAGCCTGCCTCTGTGCTAGCAGATGGAACATGATGCCGAGTTCAAATAGTGCAGGATAACCCACTCCAGTTAACCCTTCAGAACAAGGTGGCCACATCTGCCTACGGAGAATACTCCTATGCTCATTCTCAGACTGTGAAGTTTGCAGTTTGCTCTGACATAAACCTCAGCCAAGGGACCAGCTGAACAATTTAACAGGGCAGAAAATCAGTCCCACTCTCCAGGGCTGCTTCGTAGTTTTCCAGGAAAAAAAACAAGCTATCGGTGTCTTTTTTATCTTTTTGGAATATATTTAACCCAAAGTAACTTTATATATACACACATATAAAGCAACTTTAACCCAAAGCACCTGGCTGCTACACGAGTTGCTTAGGAGTGCGTCTGCCAAAATCCACCTAGTAGTTGCAAGAAGGCAAAGCTTTTCCCTTTGATCAGTGTGTTGGTACCCAAGAGGTCTCACTGAGACTGGCAGTACACCGTCCAGGGCAAGTAAAGAAGTAAGGTAAGAGCTGGCGGTTTTGCTGTGTTCAGAGTGCTGTACCCGACCTGGACCAGAGGGGGGAAGTGTGACAAAGCTGAGGAGCACTCTGCAGAAACCAGCCATACTTTTCATTTCATTTCAGTTAATGTTTTAGAGCTTGGCACATAAGCAGAGCCACGCCTTTCAAAGACATGATTTGTTGTTGTCCATCAGTGTTTCTTCTACTGAACCATATCCTCCTGATTATTTTTGTTTTACTACTATTTTTTTCCTCTAATGCTGAATACTGATTCTCAGATAAGTGAAGACCTATCCAATTTGTTTATTTGCTTGTTTCTTTTATTTCAGTTAGCTATTTACACTAACATTATTGCAAAAAGTCATATGATTACTTTGGCAGAAATTAAGAAGCAAACCCAACATATTACTAGACCCAAATATATCTTACAATGCAAAAGTTTATGAAGGGTTTGTCAGCCTTTTCACACAAACATACTTTGGGGGAGGGGGGGGCAGGGGGAGGAATCTATTGAAACCTATAGTTGATAATATCTTCCACAATAGCATTTTGGTTATTTTTTTATACATACATTTTCACCACTTCCACAGAAACATTACCAGTAGGGCTTGATTTTTAAAGTATTTTTTATTTTTAAGAGAATCATCAACGTTGCAACAACCCACCTCACAAATGTTTTAAAACAACATCCATATGGTCACCTGTCAAACCGTCCCCATCATCCCATCCAAACACTATGCAAATTAGCATACCCCAAACTGTTATGCTATTTAATTAACAAAATCCCCAATCCTTATTTGCATTAAATAAATATCAGCACACAGCTGCTCCTCCCACCTTTGTTATACTAACTAGCAGAGTGGCCAATGCTAATCTGTCACAGCCTGGTTCTTTACTTGCATAACTCCAGGTGCTAATAAAAAGGTAAATACAGCAATACTGATACCAATATCTAATCTCTCTTTCAAGCTACTGCATTTATTCATCATTTTGGGGATATTTGAATCTCTGTGGATGCAGGGATTAGCAGAACATGTCCTTTCTCTGCTTCCAGCTCCCTTTCAGCTTTTATTGTTTATTATACTATATATTAATAATATATCATAATATATATTATATTGTTCATCATTGTTCATTATGTACCCATAATCTTATTTACTGCATGTATCATCAGCTTGATTGAATTCTCATGTAACTCAGTCTTAATACATACTACCTTCATAACTTGCTTTCTTCATGTTTTCACCTCTTAAAATAGTCTTCTTGAATACTTTTTTTAACTCTTGTTTATTCAAAATATTTCTTTACAGATTTTTTCCATTATTTGATTTTTTTACTGATGTTTTGGGGTTGGGATTTTGGTGGGGGGTTTTTTCAAAAGTCTTGAGAGGTTTACAGTTGTACTGTATTTGTGTCATTCTAGGCCAATTTCTCTTTGTATGTCTGTTTTGTAGTTCTGTGCCTTATGCATGTTATTACTTATGTAAATGTTTGTCATCCAGGTTATACTGAGATTTTTTTTCTGACTATAATGCACAGATACCTCTATACTTACTAGAAATAGCAGCACAAATGTTCTGAGCTGGCCCTTAAATTCCTGCAGGCTCTGAGATGAGTAATGTATGAGTCATTCAGTGAAGAGAGGTTCAGGGGGCTATTTTAGTCAAAATACACTTTCAGTCTCTCAGTGTTAATTTATTTAAGTGGGGACTGACAATGGTCACATCCCCTGTGACACTCTTAAGTCTCTAGCTCCACTAGTACAGGGCTTTTGATCCTGGATTTATTCCCAAGTCTCCTGTCTAAGACTTTTAGTGCACAGGCAGAGGAAATACAGGTACATCCTCACAATCTTCTTAAATTTATCCTGACAGGTAGGTCTGTCATCCAGCTCTGCCTCTCAAGGCATGCATCTTCTTCAGTATGTTTAGGCTGCTGTAGCAAATATGCTGACTGCATCCTTGTTCTGTCCTATATTTTCAGTCCCTTAGGATCATTTTTCAGGCCACATATCAAGGAATAATCTGCCTTCTCACTGTGCTAGGCTTCTCCAAAAGGAAGCCACTCTTGTACTCTGTTATAAATGTTCCATGTGCTTTATATAATTTTGCCCACCATGCTGGGGCTTCAGGGGTCATTGACCTCCATTTTTGGCTTTTTTTCTTCTCTTGTTAATATTCCTCTGATAACTTTTGATGATTCAATCAGCGATAGAGGGCTTGAAGCATCAAAGATAAGAAGGACTTGCAAATTTGAGAAATTAGAGGCTGGGTAAAGGGAAGAGTGAGAGATTCAAATTTCTCCCATGGGAAAGAAAAACAGAACTCTGCCTCTTTTGTATGTGCAGCAGCAGCAACCAGCCAGTTAACACAAACATCCTGGCCCACCAGTGTAAATACAGCTGGAGCTCAGCTATTGCTCCATCATCTCCAAACAAACAGGCAAAGATTTGAACTATCCAGCATCAGGACTGAGAATTCGTTTGTAGACTTCATGTATTCTTCTGCACAAGGACATCCCTCTTTTTCCTAGTACATCTACCGTTACCGTATTTAAACTGTGAGCTTCTGAAACATGGCAAAGACATGTTCCAGTCTATCTGTATGGACACTGATGTTTTCTTGGAATTTATTGCAACTAAACCGATTTACAAGAAGAAAATGCTTTTGTTACATATAGTATTTAAGTTTGGCTGCATTTCTAATGCCCTCTTGAGATTAACTGAGCAGTAAAGAATAAGATCCTTTCTTATCAAGTAATCTGTAGGTAATTGAAAGGTTTCTTTAACCTCTGAATTGTTACTATCCAATATAAAAACTAGACATAGCTATGTATAGGAATTTTATCTGTGGATGGACTTTTAGCAAAGAATGGCCATGTTCCCAAGTCAGCAAGTGCCTACGTGGAGCTCGACATGAACCAAGGATGAAGAAGGATGTGGGTAAGGAAGCAAGAGTAACGGTGCAAGCAAGATAAGAAGAAACTGGAATGTGCTAAGATACAAAATAGTGAACCGTTAGCAAGTTTTAAAGGTTAAGTTCCCATATGCTTATTTGATCAATTGTATACTAGTTGCTGTGCGCTGCAAGAATATGTATCAAAGCATAATCTACTAAGCTATTGTATATGTATCCATTTATAATACAGCAAGCTATTGAATATATATCCAAGTATACTACAGCAAGCTATTGTGTATGTAGCCATAGTTGCTGTGTGCTACAAGAATATGTATCCAATTATAATACAGCAAGCTATTGTAAGCAGATGCAGACAACAGTATAAAAAGAATAAATGCTTTGTAATAAGTGGCTTTTGTCTGATCACACTGATCTTTGACTGAGTCCATAATTTTTCTGCGGCATTTATCCTTTTTTATTTTTTAATCACACAAAGAATTAATTGTTAGGATTCAGAATAATGAAAAAAAAGGTTTTAAATCTTTTTCTTTTTTTTTACAAGTTAAATCTCTTATTGTCTGAAAACTTTAAAGTA